CACCAAGGCTACAGCCGAGCACCTCTTACTCTATAGTAAGGGTTACTCGGCTGCAGGCCCTGGCAAGTGCGAGTGCTCTGGGTCTGCTTGCATACCACACAGGCACTCTCTTTCCAATGAGAATGTGTGTGTGTTGTGTAGAAGCACCTGCAGCCACAAGGCTACAACCGAGTGCCTCTTACTCTATACTAAGGGGCACTCAGCTGCAGGCCCTGGCAAGTGTGGGTGCTCTGGGCCTGCCTGCATACCACACAGGGATTCTCTTTCAATGGAGAGTGCATGTGTAGTGTGTAGAAGTACCTGCACCCGCCAGGGCCCATAACCCCATAACCGAGCACCTCTTACTCTATAGTAAGGGGCACTTGGCTGCAGCCCCTGGCAAGTGCAGGCTCTCGGGGTTTGCCTGCACACCACACAGGCACTCTCTTTCCAATGAGAATGTGTATGTGGTGTGTAGAAGCACCTGCACCCACAAGGCTACAACCGAGCACCTTTTACTCTATAGTAAGGGGCACTCAGCTGCAGGCCCTGGCAAGTGCTGGTGCTCTAGGCCTGCCTGCACACCACACAGGCACTCTCTTTCCAACAAGAGAGCGTGTATGACATGTAGAAGCACCTGCATCCACAAAGGCTACAACTGAGCACCTCTTACCCTTTAGTAAGGGGCTCTCAGCTGCAGGCCCTGGCAAGTGCTGGTGCTCTAGGCCTGCCTGCACACCACACAGGCACTCTCTTTCCAACAAGAGAGCGTGTATGACATGTAGAAGCACCTGCATCCACAAAGGCTACAACTGAGCACCTCTTACTCTTTAGTAAGGGGCACTCAGCTGCAGGCCCTGGCAAGTGCTGGTGCTCTAGGCCTGCCTGCACACCACACAGGCACTCTCTTTCCAACAAGAGAGCGTGTATGACATGTAGAAGCACCTGCATCCACAAAGGCTACAACTGAGCACCTCTTACTCTTTAGTAAGGGGCTCTCAGCTGCAGGCCCTGGCAAGTGCAGGTGCTCTGGGCCTGCCTGCACACCACACAGGCACTCTCTTTCCAACAAGAGAGCGTGTATGACATGTAGAAGCACCTGCATCCACAAAGGCTACAACTGAGCACCTCTTACTCTTTAGTAAGGGGCACTCAGCTGCAGGCCCTGGCAAGTGCTGGTGCTCTAGGCCTGCCTGCACACCACACAGGCACTCTCTTTCCAACAAGAGAGCGTGTATGACATGTAGAAGCACCTGCATCCACAAAGGCTACAACTGAGCACCTCTTACTCTTTAGTAAGGGGCTCTCAGCTGCAGGCCCTGGCAAGTGCAGGTGCTCTGGGCCTGCCTGCACACCACACAGGCACTCTCTTTCCAAGAAGAGTGTGTGTGTAGAAGTACCTGCATCCACCAGGGCTACAACTGAGTGCCTCTTACTCTATAGTAAGGGGTGCTAGGCTACAGGCCCTAGCAGGTAGGGCGCTGTGGACCTGCACGCCACACATGCACTCTTATCCCAAGGAGAGTGTGTGTGTTGCATGGAGTGCCCACACCTACCAGGCCTGCAGTCAGCTGAGCGCCTTTTACTCTAGAGTAGAAACAGCAGGTAAGAAGCAGCCTCCTTAAAGCACGCACTGGGAAGTGGAGCCTGTGTGGGAGCTCGCCCCCCCCCCCCATAATCGGCCAATAGAAAAAGGATCTTTTGGCACTGGAAAGTGAAAACAGATATCTGACTCCCAAAAAATTGATTTGGGTCCCCACCAAAAGCTGGGACACGAAATGGGTCAGGGTTTACCCAAAATACACAACGCTTTTCTATAGTTTTTCAATGAATACCTCGTCCAATTCAACCTAGTTTGCAGCCACCAGAAAAATGAAGCTTCTGGAATATAATAACTATTTCCAAACTAAGTACTGAACAATTAAACAGGAAATAACACTTTCAACCCCGGAAAAAAATTTTTTCAATTTTTGTTACATAACCATGTAATTTGAAAATTCTAGCTGGCGTTCCATGAGTGAGAATGACTTAAGTTGGACACTCACCATTGTAGCTCACTTTGGTGCCCATTGCATAAGCTGACCTAGAAAAGCCCTTCCAAACTCACGTTGCAAGCTGCAACTCACAACCACAACCATTTTAGGAGATTTTGGAGAGCGGATGGGTGCCTTGTTGGGGCCAAAGTTTCAGCAAACCTCCAATGTAGGGGTGTCTTCACGGGACTTATAGGATGGACCTGCCGCATTCTTTCACTTTGGAGTTACGTCTTTCCACAATCCCTCATTTACCAAGACTTGTTGTCATAATGGAAATTGGCTGCAAATGAGATTCAAACATTCTGCTAATCCTGAGGTCTTTGGATGAACTGAAAAGAGGGCCGAGCTTTAGCACAGCTGGTTCACCGGCAGCTGCAGAAAATCTTGCCAATTGAAAGGTTGACAGTTCAATCTCAGATCGGGGTGAGATTCTGGCCATTGGCCCAGCTTCTGCTCACCTAGCAGATCGAAAACAGTAATGTGAGTAGATAAATAGGTACTGCTTTAAGCAGGGAGACAATAAAAGGCACCCATATGGAGATGCCAACAATCGGGAGATCATCTGTGGATAACAAAGGCTCCTTGGCGTGGAAGATGGATCAACAGCACCTCCCTGTGGCCAAAGTTGAGCACAGCCTCCAGATGCCGGAGATGGAAAAAGATGGGAAAAGTCTATACCACTCTTTATGTATTGTCTGTCCTTATCAATTGTTTAATGGCATTGAATGCTTGCCGTATGTGTGTTCTATAATCCGCCCTGAGTCGCCTCGGGGAGATAGGAAGGAATATAAAGGAAGTATCTTTAATCTTTTGCTGAGGAAGGACACAGAGCCAAGCTGAGAAATAAAACTGTGGTTCTTTAATGGGAATATTTACATCCATAAGCTTAGAAACCTTAAAAGAGGGTAAAGCTTCAACAAAGAGGTGTGCAAAAGGGTAAGAAGCCAGGAAGTGTTTGCCCTCAGCCCACAAAACACCACGAAACCAAAAGGACATCTTTACAAAACCAAGGTAACAATTGACATCATCTTGAAACTTCGAAGAGGACAATGCAGGAGGCTTTTGAAGCCAATACTCAAGAATGGAGAGATCAGTTGTTTGAATTTTCTGCTCCAAAGAGGAGATAATACAGTTGCCTCAAGGAGCTTCTACACTGCAGAGTTAATGCAGTTTGGCACCACTTTCAAGGCTATGGAGACCTGGGAGTTGTGGTTTAGGGAGGAGGTATCAGCACTCTTGGGCAACGAAGGTAAAAGCAGCCCATGCCAGCCAAAGTGGTGCTAAACTGCATTCATTCTCCAGTGTAGATGCAGCTTAAGAAGATAAGGAGCTGCTTTGGGCCTCCTTTGTGGAGAAAAAAAGCAGAATATAAATAAACATCATCATCATGAATAAACCAATTTGTCAAAAGGGTCCAGTTTGCTCCATCATAACTCCAAAAAACACAACCAACCCAAAACGCCCTTCCATAACTTTGGAACCAAACCTTTCTCCCACACCTGTCTGCTGATCCGCTCTTCTTCTTTTATACTACCTTCATTCTCCATCATTCTTTCCACTAAACCAAAATGCAACCCAACTCTTGAGTCTCCCAAATGCTACAAAGGCTTAACAAGGGCTGACTTACAAAGTTAGCATCAACTTGCAATGATCATTCCTACAAAACGACCTGCAACGAATAGCATCCGGATCCTTCGCCAATGTTTCCAAAAGTATCCAGTGGAGAAAGAGCTCCCCTTGGTCACAGGTAATTGGAAACCTTCATCTTAATCAGCTATAGTTAATTAGAAACCACTTTGAGCTCAGTATCCCTTCTCACATTCTCAGACATTTCACAAAAACGACCTGCCCTTGGACCCAAAATACTGCAGATCTCCAAAGAAGCGACTCCATGGAAATCCTCACTCCATCCCCACAAACTCATAAAACCCCACTTCTAACCTTCTTCTACATTAGGAGTTATTGGAGGAAACCAATGAAGAAGCAAACTGGACATTCTATTTGATATTGGTGCTTGGTTCATATGGAAAATTGGTAAATGGTGAAGTCTGGGTCTCTTGGAAAATACAGTGTTTCCTCACTTTTTGCAGGTGTTACATTCCAGGACCACTCGCAAAAAGTGAAAATCCACAAAGTAGGGACTCTGTGTGTGTGTGTGTGTGTGTGTGTGTGTGTGTGTGTGTATATATATATATATATATGCATGCTCTGTTCATTTTGAGTTACACCATAACTCAAAAACCGCTGGACTAAATGCCACCAAATTTGGCCACAAGACACCTACTAATCCAAGGAGTGACCATCACTAAAAAAAATGATTTTGTCATTTGGGAGTTATAGTTGCTGGGATTTATAGTTAACCCGCAATCTGAACTCTACCAATGATAGAACTGAACCAAACTTGGCACACAGAAGAATTTGGTGGGCATTGACCTTGAGTTTTGGAGTTGTAGTTCACCTCCATCCAGAGAGCACTGTRGACTCAAGCAATGAATGATCTAGACCAAACTTGGCWCAAACACTCCATATGCTCAAGGGCAAGAATCCATCCCAAGGGCAAGGAATCCACCCYGGGTTTTTAAAAGAACCAGAAGGAGTTTGGGGAAAATAGACCTTGACATTTGGGAGTTGTAGTTACTTTATTTTCCAGATCACCAGACTGGGTCACAGCAACACGTGGCACGGGATAGCTAGTGTACGTATGTGTGTGTATGTATGTATATGTGTGTGTACGTGTATATATATATATATACACACACACACACACACACACACACAYACACACACACACACAATCTCACGTTGGCAAGTAGCATCTCAAGCGGCCACTGCACAAGTCCTACTTTACTTTTGTTTTTTGTGTTTATTCATCCACTGAGTATATCCTGAGACCCTTTTCTTTTTGGGGAGCTTGATGACTCTCCCGCCTTTCTTTCCCTGCACTGGGATGGTCTCGTGATGTTGGTCCGTCCCCCCCTTCTCCCTCCCAAGCCACCTACCATTCGCCCYTCTAGACCTGTCCATCATCATTCCTTCCCTTCCTTCTCCGCTTTCAACCTGGAAAAGCTCCCATCTGCAGCGGAGAGTGAGGAAGAGGAGGAGAAGGAAGCCGATGAGGAGGAGAAGCTGGGCGAGTGAGGTGCCTGCAAGAGGTGGCTTCCCAGGCTGGCATCTCCCATGATGTGTATGGCAAGGAGAGGCACAGCTCCAGCGTAAATATATACATTACTGTATTTACTGAAAAACCGCAAAACAACGAGTCCGCGAAAAGCGAACCGCAAAGTAGCGAGGGAACACTGTACTTCCGAACAAGTATTTTTGTGTTTAGTTTCTACCCAACACTGCCCACAGCTTCTTGATCCCATTACTTTGGTTCCTTAATGCCATTTTAATCATGTTCGAATCCTATTTTATCCAAAAATTGGTGAAAAACTGCAATTTCACAATTAAAAACAAAACCGCAAACCAGCAAGTCCACGAAAAGCGAACTGCGAAGTAGCGAGGGAACACTGTACCTCTGAACAACAAGTATTTTTGTGTTTAGTTTCTACCCGACACTGCTGGCAGATTCTTGATCCCATTACTTTGGTTTCTTAATGCCATTTTAATCATGTTTGAATTCTATTTTATCCAAAAAATGGTGAAAAACTGCAATTCCACGATTAAAAACAAACACACCTGAGGAAGAATAATCTGAAGCCCCTTTGTTGTGAAACGTATAGGCTTCAATGCTATTCCTTACAGAAATCTATGGAGTCCGCGAGGTTTATATATGTCTTGGTTTCACACCCAGAAATTGATATAGAGCTCTTTCTGAGAACAAATTTAAAGTGCTATTATTCCATTTTAACTGCCTGTGGCTTCATCATCATGCAAAAACTGGGATTTGTAGTTTGGATGAAGATTTTAAATTCTACCCCTGAACTACAAGTCCCAGTATCACATAGGGTGGCGTCACAGCAATTTAAAGTGGAATGGTAGCACTATAAATGCATATGATGGACTCTCCACATTTGGGGCACTGAGACCCCACAAAAATGGGGGAAAGTGCAAATAAGCACATAGAGGAATCTCTATTTCATTCAGCATGAGTGCATGGCCAATTTCTGGTGGAGGTTGCATTGGAGGACCTAGAAAATCCTGCACAGAACATATTAATCAAATTCACAAGTGAATCTCACAATTGCAGAGAGCCAAGAGCAATATAAAAGGACCCCAGGTTGAGACTGAAGATTTCAGTCGTAAGATGTCTCATAATAAACCTGTTGGGGAAAATAATATTAACAACCATTTGCCCTAATTTGCATTTTGAGTTCAGTTTGACTTTGGATCGGAGCTGAATAAAAGCTTTGGCGCAATTTCCTCCTGCGGTGAGGCTGGAAAGTGCTCCGAGGAAGTACACTGTGAAGCTCTTCCTGTACGTTGAGCAGAAGATCAAAAAGAAGGAGATAAGTGGATTTAAAAGGCGCTATGCAGGAGAGCAGAAGTTGCTTTACATGTGAACAGCAATGGCTACTGGCCTCCATGCCACGAGGGCAAGGAATCCACCCCGGGTTCTTAAAAGAACCATATAAGGTACAAATCACCTTAGACGGTTCAGGTTAAAACCAGGAGTGGATTCAACATCCTTGATAGAGAAGCTACCAGCGGTCGAAGGAGGCCTGTCGAATTCCTCCCATCCCCTATATTACATTTTACATACAACCCTCCCAAAAGCACAGGAAGCAGAGTCTCCTAGACGAAAGTCTCTTCGGCGAACATTAGGGTCTCATGGCTCTCGTCTGCGCAAGGCGGGCTCCGTATCCACTCTGCCCTGCTCCGGAGAAGTTCCTCCTCCACCGTCTCCACACTCGCAGCACAGTGCTTCTCGGAGCCGTCTCGGCTGAAATACTCTCGGACCGTGTGGCGGACGGACGCCGGGAGGAAAATGCGGAACGTGTGGCTGAAGGTCTTGCTGACCCCTTGGCTGTGGCACACGTCTGGACCGTCCAGAGGCTCCGGCTCTTCCACCTGGGTGGGGGGGCTCGAGGATTCATGGTGGTACCTTCTTGAGACGGACTGGAGGACCAGTGGGGTGTTCTGCCCGTAGAAGACCGTCTGGGGGATGTGGACCCTGACCGTCTTGGTACTACTGGGATCACTAGCCATGTACCCTTCGTCCTGCACCACCGGAGACTCTCTTGGACTCCTCTCCTTTGGAGCCATGTAGACCGTGATCTTGGTACGCTTCAAGCTTCCTTGGGAGAAAGGAGCCTCTTTGGAGCCTTTGATCTCAATGTGCTTCGTGGACGTCACAAAACTGCTCTCCGGGCTTGGGATGGCAGTCCTGTACTCCGTCTTGACAAGGGGACAGCTTGTAAGTGGATAGGAGAGCGTTTCGGCATGACTTTCCTCCTTCTCGTCTTTGCTCTTGAGGTTCTCCAAGCTTCCAGAGCTGCCTCCGATGGGCAGGAAGACCGCCACTTTCTCTTGGCTGCCGTTCTCTCTGTTGTCTTCTCTGTTCTCAAAGGAGAACTCCACATCGCTGAGGGGCAACGGGGAGGTCAGTGGCTTGTGCCACTCCTTCGAGGACCGCTTGGCCACTTTGGGGGACAAAGCGTGGAGCCGGGCAGAGGTGCCGAACATGAAGGGCAAGCTGGAGGCATTGTCCGTGGGGCTGAAGGCCGAGGAGGACTCAGAGCAGTAGGAGAAAGCACTGTCCAGAGAGCTCAAGGAGGAGGCTGAAGGGGAGGTGGTGGACGAAAGGCTGGAGAAGCTGGACCGGTTGGAGAGACTCGCCTTCTGAGGGCTGAGCCTTTTGGCCACATTGCCGCATAGGGAGGGCCTCCAGAAGCCAGGTCTGGTGGCTCTGCTCAGCCCAGGGCTCAAGCCTTCGTTGATGAGCTTCTGGCTCTCCAGCTGCAGCTGCTGGAGCCGGCGGATGTAATCCCCATGGCTGTGCATGATGGCGGCATCGCAGCTGGACTGCCGAGCCACCGGTTCGTGGTCCTGAGAGGGAAAGCGGGAGCTCAGGCACACGCTGGGCTCAGAAGAGCAACGGTTCCTTGCCGGGTCCAGCGAACAGACAGAGCCCAGGGAGCAGAAGGAGCCGCCCTCTTCCTCCTGCTCCAGGAGGTCGTAGCTGTCTGCACTGGCGTTCTTCCCCGCTTTGCTCCGGTAGCAAGCGGCGATCTCGCTGAACAAGTCCCAGTCCTCTCGCTCCTCGCTCAACGAAGGGCTGAACAGGCCATCCTCCACTTCCAGCCCATAACGTTGTTTGGATCTTTCCCCAAAGGAGGCTGCAAATTCCATCTCGTCGGAGGAATCGGTTCGCTGAGCTGGAGATGGGAGGAAGAAGAGAAGTCAAGATTGCGAGGGCCATGGTTTGATGGAAGAATGAGCCCTGACTCATCTAACTCTCAGAATACCGCCATGACCCGGTCGTGGCGCTGCGCAGCTGGTTGGGAGTCAGCTGCATTAAAAATAACTACAGAAATGCCCAGGTCAGAGTGAGCTTCCGACCAATTTGTGTAGCTTGCTGTTGATCTTTGCAGCCCGAAAGACAGTTGCATCTGTCAAGTAGGAAATTTAGGTACCGCGTATGTGGGGGGGGGGGGCTAATTTAACTAATTTACAATGCCATTAAAATCTCCAGCAAGCAGGCAAAGAATGAGGAAGTACTTCATCAGTGTCACAAACGGATGTTGAAGCTACAGCTCCCCTGGTGGCCAGAATACCCTCGTCACAAGCTGGAATGTTAATAGCCTCTGTGTGTCTGTCTATATATGTTGTGTGTCTATGGCATTGAATGTTTGCCATCTATATGTACATTGTGATCTGTCCTGAGTCCCCTGCGGGGTGAGAAGGATGAAATATAAATATTGTAAATAAATAAATAAATACTGACCAAAAGGTCATGAGTTTAAAGCCAGCCTGGGTCAGAGTAAGCTTCTGACCATTTGTCTAGCTTGTTGTTGACCTTTGCAGCCCGAAAGACAGTTGCATCTGTCAAGTAGGAAATTTAGGTACTGCTTATGGGGAGGCTAATTTACAAAGCCATAAAAATCTCTAGCAGCAGCATGCAAAATAATGAGAAAGCGCTCCATTGGTGTCACAAGTAGACGGTGAAGCAACAGCTCCCCCAGTGGCCGGAATTTGAAACATACCCTCAGGAAGCTAGAAGTTAAATAGCCTCTGTGTGTCTGTCTATATATGTTATGTGTCTATGGCATTGAATGTTTGCCATGTATATGTGCATTGTGATCCACCCTGAGTCCCCAGCGGGATGAGAAGGGCGGAATATAAATACTGTAAATAAATAAATAAATAAATAAATATTGATTTCCAAATATTTTTGGTTCTAAAGCTGGACTGAAAGGGGAAACATGACATGAAAATGCCCATTCCACAAGCAAAGCCCTGTATTGGCCTCAAATGCTTCCATTTCCCTCTACATTCCCTATCAAAATGTCAACAAGAAGAAGACACATCAAGAGTGTGAAGGTGATGATGGCTCTATGGAGGAATTAACTCTCATCTGACCAACTCCTTCACGAATTGCCATCACAGTGAAGGGAATGCCTTACCCAGTATATCGTCCACACTTTTGGACTTCTTCCTTTCTGGCCTTTGGAACAGCGAAGCGATGTCCCTTCCAAAAATTTCAGTTGAATTTTCGATGAGGAATTGGACCAGGAAGGCCACCTAGTGAAGGAAGTGGTTGCAAAAGTTAGAACTGAAAACATCATGGCAGATGCTTTGTTTTTGTTTGTTTGTTTTGTTTTGTTTTGTTTGGGGTTTGTTTGTTTTTGTCGTGTCAGGAGCGACTTGCAAAACTGCAAGTTGCTTCTGGTGTGAGAGAATTGGCCATCTGCAAGGTCGTTGCCCAGGGACGCACATATGTTTTTGATGTTTAACATCCTTGTGGGAGGCTTCTCTCACGTCCCCGCATGGTGAGCTGGAGCTGACAGAGGGAGCTCATCCACACTCTCTCTGGATTCGAACCTCTGACCTGTCAGTCTTCAGTCCTACTGGCACAGGGGTCAAACTAGACTATACACTTAGCAGAAATGCCCACTTGAGTGGTGAAAGCTGTCTGTTTCTCCGAGCATGTGGTTTTCCATACCTCTGTATCTTGCATTTGCATTTTGTGACTGGCCACGGAAAGGTAAACATGGCCATAATTTGCAAGTCTGAATGTGGAGGTGCCATATCTCTGACAAAATCCCATTCAGGGAAGGAGAAAAAGGTTCAAAGATGTAGCCATTCCTCTTCAATGTCCAGTGTGACCCTGTGCACAATTGTGGAGTTATGGTTCCAATTTAACTGCTGTGGTTCTCTCCTGAGAAATCTGGGAATTGGCAGATTCCCAACCAGTGAACACTAATGCGCTACAAACCCCAAGATTTGACACAAAGCAGGATCATGGCACAGTCATGCCTATACACAGACTTTAATATATTATCTAATTAAGCCTTTCTTGTATCATTTATTTGTAGGGACCCATAGGTAGCCATTTCCCTTTCAGAGGTGAGCCTCATAGCAAGATCCAGCAGCTTCCTTGAAGGCAGCCATTTGGAAGAAGGTGCTGAGAGAAGCAAGGAAGCTCAACACATTGCATGTTAAAGTTGGTGCTAGAAGTCGATATTACTGGAGTCCCCAGTGGTGCAGTGGATTAAACCACTGAGCTGCTGAATTTGCTGACCAAAAGGTTGGCGGTTTGAATCCAGGGATTGGGGTGAGCTCCCACTGTTAGCCCCAGCTTCTGCCACCATAGCAGTTAGAAAACATGCAAACGTGAGTAGATCAATATACCTATTGATCTGCGGGAAGGTAAGGGCGCTCCACAAAGTCATGCTGGCCACATGACCTCGGAGGCTGTAGCGAAATTGCTACTCTATGTTAAATTTTTGGTGTATAGCTGTATGTTTACATATGGCAGATAGGGAAGAATAGGCACAGACAGGGTAGCAACAGCAGAGATAGGATTCATTTGCATATGGAAGCCAATTGGTCATATGCAGATTAGCGTAGGCCCAGGATTTGAAAGGGTTGCTAGGCCAAAATGACAGTTGGAAGAGCAGAGCTAAACATTCAAAAGGGGCGGAGCCTAAGTTTAAAAATAGGCAGTTAGAGAGTCAGAAGAGGGAGTTAGGAATTGCTGTTTGTGAAGTGAGTTAGGGATTCCTGTTTGTGAGAGACAGTTAGGAACTTCTGTGAGAGAAAAGAGTTAGGAACTCTTGTTAGAAATAAGCAGTTATGAAGATGTGTTAAGGATTTCCGATATATATAGAAACAGCTAGTTAAACAGAGATCAAGTTTTAGGAACATAAAGAAAGCCAGTGGTGCTTTAGTCAGAAAATAATCTCAGTCAAGAGTGTGTAAAGCAAGTAACATGTTTGTGAATGTGAAACATTGAAAGTCTATTTCAGAAAAGTACACCAAGTCTATTATACTGACTGTAAGCCTCAAGATTGCAACAAAACACAAAATGTAACCACAACCGATTGAAGACAGAAGTTATAAATAAACTGTGTTACTTTGTTATACAGAAGTGTGTCTCAGTGCCTGTACAAAGGTTAAACAGAACATGGAAAGTCCCAGTTAATATAAAATAAAAAATGGAATCATTATAAGAGCAAAAAGGTTTTTAAATAAAGAAATAGTCTCCCTCCCTCGTTACAGGGACAATGCTGGCTCTTCAGTTTAGAAATGGAGATGAGCACCTCCCCCGAGAGTCGGACATGACTAGACTTAATGTCAGGGGAAGCCTTTACCTTTTAAAAATAATTCCTTGTTAACTGTTCACCAGTGTAAACCCAACTCTGTTCCTGGTGAGATTAGAGCACCTTCAGGAATTAGCTCAGGGGACACAACAGGTGCCCTAACTGCATTGTGTGAATGAGCCCCAGGGCCACCTGGTTCTTTATGGAACCAAAGGACAGAAGGTGGGACACACCTTTTTGGTGGATTTGCTCTCCTCCTCAGGTCCCGTGGGGCTGGGCAGCCACAGCATGTTGGGGGCGATGCAGAGGGCCAGGTTGAAGGCAGTCATCTGGTTCTCGGTGGCGTTCTGTTCAATGCGATGCAAGACGCCAAAGAGGTGTCGGAGCAAGATACGGTTGGCCTCTGGGAGCTGGTTCACCAAACTGCCCCAAAAAAGAAGAGTAACAAGAGGTGAAACACAGAAATCCTCTGATGCTTCAGCCCAAAAGGCCACACCAAGACTGAGATCCTAGACTCTTTCTCCACAATCTGGCTTTACTGGGCAGCAGCTGGTGCAAGCAACGAGGCTCTGTTTTCCTTTCAATTGGGATTCAAACAAACTGATGCTTCCACCTCCCTCACACCAGCAATCTCTAGCATAACAATCAAAAGTAGGTGACTTTTTGCAATGTATCCTTGCCCTGATTCTCACTAGCAAGAAAAGTTAAATCCTCCGTACCTGACCTACAGGAGAAGAGACCTCTGTCACTCGCAGCAGCTGCTTCTCTGATTGTGACCAATTACTATAATCGTAAATGTGGAGGGACTGTGAATAGGAATTAGTGACGACTTCCCTTGTAGTTATGCATCTGTTCCAAGTGTGTATCTAAGTGCAATAGCCAATATTTGCCATTTTGTGCTGATGGCAACACATGAGCTTCAGAAAGTTCATGACGATGCCATGCCATAGATACTGGAGAGATGGCATTGGTCTCAGCTAGCTACTGTTTACAATTCAGAGCCATGGGCACTGTGTACTCATACTCAAGGCAATCAGGAGGCACCAACCTTTGGATGGCTTCGATCCTATGTTCCCAGTTTTCCTTATCCATGGCTTCCATCCAGAGCCCATGCATGTCTGAGGATAGAACACTGTCAGGTATATTTCGCAGAAAATCCTAAATTAAATACACATACGCAGAGTCATTTGATTGGTCAGGGGAAGAAGCAATACAGTCAGACTTGTATGTTGAATCACTACTTAGTTAAGGATATTGAGTTACTAACATATACAAAGCTGAAGGCCATAATGTGAGGAGCATGACATCCCATCAAAGTCACCATTTATTTATTTATTTACAGTATTTATATTCTCAGGGCGGATCACAATGCACATATACATGGCAAACATCCAATGCCATAGACACACAACATATATAGACAGACACACAGAGGGTATTTAACTTTCCAGCTTCATGAGGGCATGTCCGTATCCTGGCCACCGGGGGAGCTGTCACTTCACCATCCACTTATGACACCGATGGAGTACTTCCTCATTCTTTTGCACAGAGATTTTTTATGGCATAGTAAATTAGTTAAATTAGCCTCCCCGCATAAAGCGGTACCTAAATTTCCTACTTGACAGATGCAACTGTCTTTCGGGCTGCAAAGGTCGACAGCAAGCTAGACAAATGGTTGGGAGTTTACTCCAACCTAGGCTGGCTTCAAACTCATGACCTTTTGATCAGTGGTGATTTTAATGCAGCTGATTCCCAACCAGCTATGCTACAACCCAGTCATAAGCCTTAGTTTTGTTGTACACATCTGAAGAATGAGCTATCCCATGTGCCATAACCCTGGCTCTTTCCAAGTATTTAGACCACATTAACATCATTTTATGCTTTTGCAAAAACAGCTCACACTCTTGTAGGGCCGGCGAATGCACTTTGTCCGTCTTTCCTGGAACTTCTACAAGAACAGCATGGGAAATGCCTCTAATATCTCTAAATAAATGCTCCCTTCTTTTCACACTTCGTAGCTGCTATAAAAGATGCTGCTATCTCAGGCATGGGCAACACATGACACATTAAACCACGGGGCAGCTGGCCAGGAATTTGATAAACTTCCCATTGCGTTGCTTGCCAATACTTCCAAAAAGGGAACGGTGAGTTTACCCACTTCTAAAATACACAACGCGTGAGCTATAATCGCCTTGATGGGTCACATAACTTTGGAGACGTAATGCACGGACTAACATACCGTAATGACCGCTGCCGCTACAAAGACGGATTCGCCATCCACTTGCACATCATCCCCGGAGTTGAGCCTCTCCTTGAGTTCCTTGCAAGTCTTGGCGTTGGCCGAGCGCCGGAAGATGCCCCGCGTCGATGGGCCTTCGAGGTACAAGAGCTGCAGAATGTCCTGTGGGGAAAGCAAGCGATGCCAAGTCTCATCCAGTGTCCATGAACCTCATGTACATGAGTCTTCCCCTGTTTCCACACACTTTTAAGACGTTCCAGAGACAAAGTGCCATAGAGCCTTAACTACTTCTGTTTGTCATCCATGGCACTTCCATCCCTGAAATGGAAGGTGCGAATGGGACAGGAGATGGGGGAAAAACCCAATCTTCTGAGCTCCTGATGTGCCTGGCAATGAGAGAAAGTTTTGGAAAATGGAAATCTCCATAATCTTTTGGAGATTTTGTGACCTTTGGAAAGACATAACCTTCTTAGAAGTCACAACTTTAGAAAACATGATGTTATACGAACCACTGAGGACTTTAAGATCATCTGGGGAGTTCATCCTGAAGCCCAATGCTCAAGTGCAGCTGCGGAGAGGTAAGCTTGCACCTTGAACGGAGAGGTGTATTTGGCCTATAACGCCTTAAACGGTTCTGGCCCACCTTCCTGTCCGAACGTATCTCCCCTTATGAACCATCGAGGACCTTGGGATTGTCCGGGGAGGCCCTACTCTCGGTCCTGCCTTCGTCACAAGCACGTTTGGCGGGGACGAGAGACAGGGCCTTCTCAGTGGTGGCCCCTCGGCTATGGAACGACCTCCCTAGGGAGATCAGATCTGCTCCCAAGCTCTTGATGTTTCGGAGGCAAGTTAGAACGTGGCTATTCGAGCAAGCGTTTACAAATACAGAGTAGCTAATATAGGAAATCGAATGACCTGACAACGAAATTGGACAATGCTTGAGAATAAGGAGACGCTGATGAGGTTGTTTTTGTTGCTTTTGTGATGTCTTATACTGTTTAATGTTTTTTTATCTATATTATGTTTTATGTATACTGATTTGTTGGAAACCGCCTTGAGTCGCCAATTGGCTGAGAAAAGTGGTATACAAATACAGCAAGTAAATAAATAAATAAATAAATAAATAAATAACTTTTTGGGAAAATGGCATTCATGCAAGTCAATCAGGTTTCTCAGCTGTTAAACTGATGTACCTAGATATCTCTTTGAACTGTTAGGGACAAAGATATGCCAATGCACAAAACACACTCACACACACACACAAATAGCAGAGTTTCAGAAGTGTTCTTTCAGTTGCCCAAAAAACATCGACTCTCCCTTACAACATCTTGATTTAAATTTATTTATTTATTTATTTATTTATTTACAACATTTATATGCTAAAGGGGACTCAATTATGTATATAATTGAGAATACTTACTGTATTGTATATGTGTGTGTTGGTTTGTAGTTTTCCTTAACACTATGTTGTGGGAGGGGCTGCAGACCACATGACCAGATCTGGGATTGTTCAGGACTCAGATTCCATACAAGATAGTAATAACTAGTGGAGGCTTGAAGAAGGTTGCTATTTCCAACAGAAAGTGATTGAAAACACGTGGGATGGGATCTGTCAGATTCGCCCATGTTGAATCATTTCAGTGACGTAGAGGAATGAGTATGCCTCACCACTTTACTTTCACTGCATTTTCTCCTCAATAGTAATCTAGGCTTTCAAAATTGTGCTCTTGCTAGTTTTTTTTTTTAACATAAAGGTGATCTAATAGAGGGAAGGAAAGCCTAGGAGGAGGGGATCTTTATAATAACTCTGGTCTCGTGCAGGGCAAGAACACACGGGAAAGACAGGTCATGGCAGTGGGATGAGGTCCACAGTAATTCTGGCTTCCAATATTTATTTTTTTCATATTTATTTCATATCAAAAAATTGTATAAATTAGTATAAATTATAAATTAGCACTTAGTTTTGGGGGGGGGGCTGAGTCTGAGTGAAAGAGGGTCTAGCCTAGCAAACCGTTTGTATCATTACCCCAATACCCCCATGCATATGGGATATATTGAGTATGGTGATCAGATCATGATATGAATAAACATAACAGTTTAAATAATGCACCAGTAAGGCCTTTTCGAGAACCACCATGAGAATTTCGGGGGGGGGGCTGAAGCCTCAACCCCCCCCCCCCCCCCGGCTACATGCCTGGAGGGTATGATATGCTTTGTGAAGAAGACGATCCTCTTCACACACACATATACTTTCTGCAATGCGTCTGATGAAGTTCCATGTCTCCTGGTTCCATGTTGCACAGCATCAGTGGCACTGCACCATCGCAATGTGTGATATTGGACATACATTGAGCCACACGGGAAAGAACGCAAATCCCACATCCCTGTGTTGGGAGTGCTGCCTTACCATGATTGGTTTGGGGAGGCTCCCATCGGGGCAAACGGAGCTGAGCGAGAGGCCAAAGAGCTTCCTGGGGTTCGGCGGGGACTGCGAGGCTGGGCTGCTGGTGGGGGTGCTGCTGCTCCTCCGCAGGGCCCAGTCAATCAAGGACTTCTTCCGCTTGCTGTGCTTCTGCAGCGGTTCTGAAACAAGCAAAGAAACACCCTTGGTTTTGCTAGAGGCAACATGGAGTGTGAGTGTGAGTCTTGGACAAGGACTCCCCAAGACCTTTCCTCAAGGAGATGGATCATAGAATCATAGAATCAAAGAAGAGACCTCATGGGCCATCCAGTCCAACCCTTCTGCCAAGAAGCAGGGAAATTGCATTCAAAGCACCCCCGACAGATGGCCATCCAGCCTCTTTTTAAAAGCCTCCAAAGAAGGAACCTCCACCACACCGAGGTAGAGAGTTCCACTGCTGAACAGCTCTCACAGTCAGGAAGTTCTTCCTCATGTTCAGGTGGAATCGGCTTGCTTTCTTGTAGTTTGAAGCCATGACTCCATTGCATCCCTAGTCTCTGGGGCAGCGGAAAGAAAAGTTGCTCCCTCCTCCCTAGGACTTCCCCTCATATATTTATACATGGCCCTCATCATGCCTGCCTTCTCTTCTTCAGGCGAAGTATGTGCAGCTCCTTAAGCCGCTCCTCATAGGGCTTGATTTCCAGATCCTTGATCATTTTAGTCGTGCTCCTCTGGACACATTCCAGCTTGTGAATATCTCTCTTCAATTGTGGTGCTGTCTCACTGATGATTTGAAGGGGTGCTTTGAATGCAATATTCCTGCTTCTTGGCAGGGAGTTGGACTGGATGGCCCATGAGGTCTCTTCCAACTCCTTGATTCTATGATTCTATGAGTCGCTTGGCTCACCAGCTTCTTGTCCCAGCTCCACTCCTGTGATCTCTGTTGGAAGATTCTGAGCTCAGAGCACTCAGCTTTTCTGTTTTTGCCTCCCACAATCACTCAAGGAGCCCCAAGGTCTCCACGGAGCACACTTTGGGAACCCCTGCTCTAGATGGTTGAGCCAATGGTCTCCTGGGTTTCATTTGGCAGCCACAAGATGCCATCCATGGATCAGTCCTAGGGTGGGACTAATGTGTCCCACAGTCATCTGGACCCCATTATTTTGGCCAGGATCCCAAATGCTTGGTCACTTCCAATGCAGTGTCATGCTGGAACTGCCCCTGCACTTATTCCAAGCTCTAAAGCAGCCTTTCAAAGTGCTGACATTATTTGTCATATAGTAAAAGTCCAAAGGAAATTCAACCTAGCACTATTCACAAAGCCATCGACCATCACAACAAACCAAGCGAGGAACAAAAATACTGTTTTACAATAGGTCACAAATTCACCTCTCCGTTCGAGGTGCAAGCTTACCTCTCCGCAGCTGCACTTGAGCATTGGGCCTGGGCTTCAGGATGAACTGACACTGCCTCTCTTTGGGGATTTGATCCAAGATGGAGGCCTCACACCCAGGAAGGAGGTTGTTGTTGTTGGTTCCCTGGAGGTGGTCCAAGGAGCCACGGAGGGAATTCAGGATAATGCTGAAGGGATACTCGTGGCCTGTTGCAACGAGAGGGAGAGAAAAGACGGTTGAGGAATGCCGCTGCAGGAAACCACTTGCATTAGACGATTGCATTTATTTTGCATTCCTTGCTGAAGCCATCCTCTTACGGCCAAGGATTTGGCCCGGCTTCGAAATCCCACACATTTATTAGGACACTCCTTTGGGGAAATCTCCCTCAGCTGTTCTGAGCAAAAGGCACTTTCTCATTGTTTTTCTGTTTGCATGGAAGGAAAATAAAGAGCCACCTTGGAACGAATCGGATGCAGCATAGAATACGCCATTGTTTCAGAATTCAGCCAAACGAAGGTGGGATAAGAAAACTAACAGAAAGTCCAGAATCAGCGATCTTTCATCTTCCTTAGAAAACAATATCATTGCGTTCTTATTGTTGGGATTTCTTTACCAAAATAAACAAACAAGACCATGGTCTCTTTTTTTCCTAAACAATTGGATGCTGATATAAGTGCCATGGTGATCTCCCTAGGGCTAAGCTTAGGGTGGTGTCTACGCTGCCATATAATGCAGTTTGGAATTGTATCATAGCGTCAGTGTAGATCCATATTGGTAAAGGTAAAAGTTTCCCCTTGACATTAAGTCCAGTTGTGTCTGACTCTGGAGGTTGATGCTCATCTCCATTTCTAAGCCAAAGAGCCAGTGTTGTCCATAGACATCTCCAAGGACATGTCTGCATGGAGACATCTCCATAGATGTCTCCATAGACATGTCTGTATGGAGACATCTCCATAGACATCTCCATAGACATGTCTGCATGGAGACATCTCCATAGACATCTCCAAGGACATGTCTGCATGGAGACATCTCCATAGACATCTCCATAGACATGTCTGTATGGAGACATCTCCATAGACATCTCCAAGGACATGTCTGCATGGAGACATCTCCATAGACGTCTCCATAGACATGTCTGCATGGAGACATCTCCATAGACATGTCTGCATGGAGACATCTCCATAGACATCTCCATAGACATGTCTGCATGGAGATATCTCCATAGACATCTCCATAGACATGTCTGCATGGAGACATCTCCATAGACATCTTCAAGGACATGACTGCATGGAGACATCTCCATAGACATCTCCAAGGACATGTCTGCATGGAGACATCTGCATAGGCATCTCCAATGACATGTCTGTATGGAGACATCTCCATAGACATCTCCATAGACATGTCTGCATGGAGACATCTCCATAGACACCTCCAAGGACATGACTGCATGGAGTGCCCTTACCTTCCCGTCGGAGCGATACCTATTGATCTACTCACATTTGCATGTTTTCAAACTGCTAGGTTGGCAGAAAGATCCATATAATGCAGTTTAACTATTCTAACTATTCTAGTTTAATCCTTCTAACTCAGTGCTATGATTCTAAGGCTGGATCTACACTGTCATATATTGCAGAATAGTTAAAGATCCATATAACGCAGTTTAACTATTCTGCATTATATGGCAGTGTAAATCCAGCCTTAGAATCATAGCACTGACCTAGACGGGACCTCCAAGGCCCATCTAGTCCAACTGGTTTTCTGTGTGACGTGGGCCTTCACATTTCGTGTTGACTTCATGGCTTTTATTTCCATGGGTTTTCTTCATCAAGGAGGATCCAAAGCTCCTTCCTCTGAAAATAGAGCTGGCCTCCCATTAAAGTGCTAACCAGGGCTGGGACTGCTCAGCTTCCAAGATGATTTGAAGGAAGCAAAATATCCCCGCAGAATGGCTCTTACCGAGGAGAGGGAAGGCAGGGCTGTCTCTTCCGGAAAGGACGCAGAGGCGGTAGTCGCTGGCTCTTCCCTGGGAAAATAAAAAGAGGAAAGCAATGGGAAGGCAACCAGAGCTCAGGAAGTCTCAAACAGAGCAGAAAACAAGGGAGTGAATGGCCGTTCTGAATGGCCCAGAACAAGGGGAAAGGTTTAATGAAAGAGAAGGGGATCAGAGGAGAGGCAAGCCCAAGCAGCCTCCATGCACACAAAAGAGCTCAAAGGGAAGAGATATTATTATTAGTATTATTATTATTATTATTATTACTATTATTATTTTACTGACACAAAAGCACAGTATGTCACAGCAAACGAGATCTCTCTGCTGGATTTCATATCACAAAACCACAAGGCGAACACTTCCCAAGCGTCTAGGACTCTGTGATGTATTTCCGAATGATGCGCGCAGATCCAAGTCAGACGGCCTTTTGCAGTTGACAGGTCATGATTTTGTCGATGTTTATTGTTTCCAAATGCCAGCTGAGATCTTTTGGCACGGCACCCAGTGCGCCCATTATTCCCACTGGGACCACCTGTACTGGTTTCTGCCATCAGAGCCTTTGCCGTTCGATTTTGAGGTCCTGATAATGGCTGAGTTTCTCCTGTTGTTTTCCCTCAATGCGACTCTCACCTGGAATGGCGACATCAATAATCCAGACTTTTTTCTTTTCCACAATTGTGATGTCTGGCGTGTTGTGTTCCAAAACTTTGTCAGTCTGGATTCAAAAGTCCCACAGGATTTTTGCATGTTCATTTTCCACAACCTTTATGGGTTTATGATCCCACCAATTCTTTTTTTTTAAAAAAAATCTTTATTAATGTTTTGATAAATACATACTATTAAAAATTTCAAAAATAGGATAGCAAAAGATAGCAAAGGTATGTTGAAAGAAGGGGAAGAAAAGAGGGGGGACGGGGAGGGGGAGGACAGTGTGTGCATAAGTAAGAAAGGAGAGTGCATTAAAAGCGTTACGAAACAAAGATAATAAGTTCCATTCTTCTTTCGGTCTGACTTCCCGGTGTCTTCGATGAGGTTTTCCTTTTCTTTTTTTCTTGAATGTCTCTTTTCTTTCTTTCTTTTCTTTTCATTCTTCTATCTTTGATTTATGAGGTAGGGTTTCTCATTTATCTTTTCTGATTTTTTTGTTCTATTTAAAATATTCATTTATCAATGTCCAATGTCTGTCTCTTTCTCTGTTATTCCTTTGTATTTCTGTATTAGATCCCACCAATTCTTTCCTGCTGTCAGGTGGTCCTTGTGAAATAAGTTCAAGGGAATCACCTGGGCCACAGAGTTGTGCCTCTGCTTGTAGTCCGTCTGTGCGATTTTCTTGCAGCAGCTGAGGAGATGATCCATGGTTTCATCAGCTTCCTTGCACAGTCTGCATTTTAGGTCATCTGCTGATTTTTCAATCCTGGCCTTAATGGCCTTTGGTTGTGATGGCTTGCTCCTGGGCTGCAAGAATCAGGCCTTCTGTCTCCTTCTTCAGGGTTCCATTCATGAGCCATAACCAGGTCTTCTCCTTGTCAACTTTTCCTTCAATCTTCTCAAGGAACTGCCCATGTAAGGCTTTGTTGTGCCAGCTATTATTATTATTGGGTTGTTGTAGGTTTTTTCGGGCTATATGGCCATGTTCTAGAGGCATTTTCTCCTGACGTTTCGCCTGCATCTATGGCAAGCATCCTCAGAGGTAGTGAGGTCTGTTGGAACTAGGAAAAAGGGTTTATATATCTGCAGAATGACCAGGGTGGGACAAAGGACTCTTGTCTGTTGGAGCTAGGTGTGAATGTTTCAACTGACCACCTTGATTAGCATAGCTCCAGCAGAGAAGAGCTCTTGGCCCCACCCCGGTCATTCCACAGATATATAAACCCTTTTTTCCTATTTCCAACAGACCTGACTACCTCTGAGGATGCTTGCCAGAGATGCAGGCAAAACGTCAGGAGAAAATGCCTCTAGAACATGGCAATATAGCTTGAAAAAACCTACAACAACAACCCAGTGATTCTGGCCATGAAAGCCTTCGACAATACATTATTATTATTATTATTATTATTATTATTATTATTATTATTATTATTATTGGAGCCCCCGGTGGCACAGTGGGTTCAACCCCTGTGCCGGCAGGACTGAAGACCGACAGGTCACAGGTTCGAATCCGGGGAGAGGCAGATGAGCTCCCTCTATGAGCTCCAGCTCCTCATGCGGGAACATGAGAGAAGCCTCCCACAAGGATGATAAAAACATCCATTCATCCGGGCGTCCCCTGGGCAACGTCCTTGCAGATGGCCAATTCTCTCACACCAGAAGCGACTTGCAGTTTCTCAAGTCGCTCCTGACACGACAAAAATTATTATTATTATTATTATTATTATTATTATTATTATTATTATTATTATTACCACCATCATCATCCCACTTTTGTCTGTGGAAACTGAGACCCAAAGCAGGTCAAATACAAATTGTTGTTGTTGTTGTTGTCTCTTCTCTTTAACAAGACTCCAAGTAGCCCAATCCCCCCCCCCCAAAATGAAACCATAATCATAATTGTAGGCAACAGAAATATAATGCCGACACTTACAGGAAGTCCCAGCTGTTGCGCCGTTTTCTTGATGACATCATCTGCAACTTCCATGTTGGAAACCGAGACAGATACACTCTGGGTGCAAACAAACATATATGGAAATAATGAATATTTATAAATGAAACCAAATGGAGACATACACTGACAACGAAAAGTGGATGCATAGCCTTGCA